AACGTGGTTACAATTTGAAATTATCATCATTAAACTCGCTCGCCCCTTTTTTTTTTTTCCCTGTCTGAAAAAAATGCTAACGACTGTCAACTTAGAAACCGGCCTAATTCTATTTGCCCTTTTTTTTCTTGAAAAAAAATAAAAATCGTTCAACAATATATCATTTTCTTTTTTAATTTTTGTAGTGAAATGGATTCATTCAAAATTTCCGCAAATGACACCTGTTGGTTTCATTTGTCGTTGGTGTGATGTGTCTTCTCCTTTATCCTTTCCGTACTCATATCTTCACACTCCCATATATCCGTTCAATCCGTTCCACCCTAGCTGAAAGCTCACAACATGCCGAAGAAAGAGCACGCTACACACAAAGAACCCCAACGTCGATACAAACAAAGACATGCAGATAATATTCGGCCGCAAATCCACAGCGCACGTCTTTACACACCAACGCCTTTTGTTCAACAACTTCCGGTTCAAATCGTGCTCTCGGTGACAGAACATGTTGCACATACTGCAAAGTGGAAAAATAGGCTCACGAACGCACTTGGACTTCGCTATGTTGTCTCCGCGGCAAAGTCCAACCACCCTCTTGGACATACCCTGAACCGGGCAGTCCTGTTGACCGGATTCTCCGTCTGTGGGAAAGTGACGATCATTATGGTCGACTCCTCCGATCACGAGCACGACAATTTAATGATGCACTTGCTCTCGTGTCTCAGACAATCAAAGAAACGCAAATGACACCTGGACATTGCCAAGGAATGCTCAAAATCAAAGGACAACTGCACCAGTTTTTGGGACCTCTCATGCCGCAGGAAAACCGACAGCCATCTTTTGCTCAGATTTACATATACGACCCCCTTGACCAAAACAATGTGACGATTCTCCGCCTCCATGGATTCAATCTACCTCCAGACATACCGTTGAGCACGGCACAACAGATAAAATTGCTCCTACGAAAACTGCACTATCTCCTTTGCCGATGCAACTGTTGGGTTTAAGAATTCATTACAATCTCTGAATTTCCAGACCATATGATAGAAAACCGTAAAATTGTTATCAATCCTGATGTGTGTCCATCAACCGAGCATATGCACAGATATAACACGCCTGAGGGATTGCAAGAACTTCGTATCCTTATGCAAGATGAGCCTCTGAGACGTGAAATTGTGATACATCGTCGAACTGGTGGCACTGTAGCTATCGCTGACATGAATTGAGCGTTTGATCCCCTACAATATGTTCTACTTTTCCCATCGGGTGAAAATGGATGGGCTGCTGAAGAAGATACATGCTCCAATTCCGACATTCACAACATTACAGCACGAGAATTTTACGCTTTCCATCTTAATACACGTCCAACAGAACGAATATCGATTTTCCGTGCATCCCGACTCTTTCAAGAATACGTTTGCATGACCTTTGGGAAGATCGAAAATGGACGCCTTCTATTCAACCGTCTGCACCAAAAAGAGATCCGTGCCGAGCTTTGCCAAAACCTCCGTGATCATCTCATGCGTTACGATAATGTCGAGAACGTTGGTCAACGTATTATTTTGCCAGCAACTTTCACTGGAAGGCCTCGTGATATGCATCGGCGGTACCAGTACGCAATGCCTGCCATCCAACAACTCTGCTCCCCGTATCTCTTTATCACAATAACATGTAATTCTCACTGGCCAGAAATCGAACACGCACCTACCTAATCAGCAGCCTGCAGATAGACCAGATCTGCTAGCTCGCGTTTTCAAAGGCTATCTTCAACAGCTCATATATGACATTCACTCTTCTCACATCTTCGGTGCAACCGCCACGTACGTTTATTCTACACAGTTCCAAAAATGTGGCCTCCCGCATGCTCACATAATCGTTCTCCTTGAAGAGAATGCCAAAGTTTCCACACCTGAGCAAATAGATAGCATCATCTGTGCTGAACTACCGCAAAATGCCGAATTACCTGACCTCGTCTTAACTCACATGATCCACAACCCGTGTGGTGCACGTAATCCACAAGCTTCCTACCTGCACAACGATTGTTGCACACGTTACTTCCCAAAAGACTTCTCAGACCGAACCGCCTGGAACGAAGAAACAGGATATCCCATCTACCGCCGCCGTTCACTGTCAGATGGAGGAATTGCCACTATCCATCACGATTGACTAATCCATAACTCCTTGGTGGTACCTTACAACCCATATCTCCTCCAGCCGCTGGGCCTCGCCGGTGTGTTTTGGCCCTGGCCTGAAACGGCCCACACTGTCTGGTCCCTACCGGGCGTCCAGACATTCCTGCCGATGCAGCAGGGAACGTCATAGCCTCCCTAGTCGCGAAGGAGGCCCAGAATATGGCCTAGGTCCGAACAGACCGAACGTCTGTTCGAACATCGCAAGTCTGAAAGGACACCTGAGCAGACAAAAATAGGACAACAAATAAATAAATAAACGCTGCCTTAAATTGAATCCTGCGGCCCTTCGGGCTGGCCGTGGGCCTCCAGGGCGCATGCCTGAAAGGGCGTGCGGCCTGGGGGCCCCAACAACCGTCAGGCCCCCTAAACGGGGCCAATGTGCAGGCTCGGCATGTGACACAGAATGACAGTTGGTTTTTCTCCCTTCGCCCAATAATCTTTTTCGTCTTGTAACACACCAAGTAGTGTGCTCTTTGACAGCAGAGCACTAACCAAAAGGTGCGATGCAGGCCACAGGCAGCAACTGACAGAAATTGGGAAATCTCAACATATCCAATGAAGAGGACACATTTCCATTAAAAATGACGGGACAAGTCATTCAGATCAAGCCATTCGCTAGTGAACCTGCCCTGCAGACTTCAAGACGAACCCTGCTTTACCCAAGCACATACCACGAACCTCCAGCCCCACAAAGAAGATGTCAACAGCATATAAAATGCAATTTGTGTAGTGTCAAAATTGAGTGCACATTTTGCAAACTCAGCCACTGCAGATCTCCGTAGTGATGCCTCCAACTATCTCTGTCCGTTAAGAGTTCTTGAGAGTCACAAGGAGAAACCGTCAACAGTGAAAACAGAGGAAGCAAGTGAACAATGTCAATTGAAATGTACCTTGTGCCCAGTCACTGCAGCGCATGGCAGAAAGCTCAAGAAAGGTAAGGCCTTCACCAGGAGACAGAGAGCTTCAGCCGCAATTATCCTATGCACGAAGACAATGCACCTGAAATCTTTGCCATACTCTCTGTATGACAACAGCTTTTCCATTAGAGCCTTCACCTTCGAAGTGATCCATCCTTCATCATACAATCTGTTCAGCACTTCGTCAGGCTCACCATCAACTGCATTCACAACCAAGCCGCATCAAAGAAACGAATCAGACATTGACAACCAACCCGCATCAAAGAAACAAATCAGATACTGAAGGAACCGACACGAAGCAGTTGACCATCCTCAGGCACAACATTTCCTCCCACAACAGTAGACAGGCCATCTAGATGGGCTTGACTTCAGGCAACAACCAGTTGGTGCAAAGTTGCCCTGGCTAGACTGTGACCAGATGTTGTGCATCCCTATTGACCTGGATTTTCCCTCCTCTGGAGACTACGTCATATTGTTCACAGTCTGGAAGGGATCATGAGCAAACTAGGGGACCTGTTTAGGCTACTCCCACAATAAAGAAGGAATATTTGCCAAGAAAAACAAAGAGGTCCATGGAATCTCTCTCTCTCTCTCTCGGGAGGCTTGCCTTGGTTGTGCAGCTTTTAGCTGCCTTGCTTCTCTCTCTCTCTCTCTCTCTCTCTCTCTCTCTCTCTCTCTCTCTCTCTCTCTCACACACACACACACACACACACACACACACACACACACACACGGGTCGTGCAGATTTTCCGTTTCTTTCTTCTTTTTTTTAAATGGTCTCGAGAGACCAAGGATCAGATATGAAACGGACAGGGATTTATAATACACCTGATGGTGGTTTCTGGGGGGGAGGGGGGCGATCGCAATTCGAGTCTCTCTCTCTCTCTCTCTCTCTCTCTCTCTCTCTCTCTCTCTCTCTCTCTCTCTCTCTCTCTCTCTCTCTCTCTCTCTCTCTCAGGAGCACGCATTTTTCCCGTTTCTTTTCTATTTTTATTTTTCAGTCCTGAAGGACCACAGATCGGATATGAAATTGATCAGTACAGATAATACACTTGACGGTGGTAGTGGAGGTTGTGGTGGTGATGGGTGGGTCACAGGTAATAAGAGTCTCTATCTCTGTCTCCCACGCGCTCGCGCCTTATTTCCGTTTCTTTGTTTTTTGGGTCCCAATCGACCACAGATCAGATATGAAACTGTTCGGTACAGATAATTAAGACTCTCTCTCTCTCTCTCTCTCTCTCTCTCTCTCTCTCTCTCTCTCTAAATGGTCTCGATAGACCAAGGATAAGATATGAAACAACCGGGACTGATAATACACCTGATGGTGGTTTTGGGGGGGGAGGGGGGCGATCGTAATTCGAGTCTCTCTCTCTCTCTCTCTCTCTCTCTCTCTCTCTCTCTCTCTCTCTCTCTCTCTCTCTCTCTCGGGAGCACGCATTTTTCCCATTTCTTCTTTATTTTTATTTTTCGGTCCTAATTGACCACAGATCAGATATGAACTGATCAGTATCAGTACAGATAGTACACTTGACGGTGGTGGTAATGGGTGGGGTTGTAAGAGTCTCTATCTCTGTCTCACACGCGCTCGCGCCTTATTTCCGTTTCCTTTTTTTTTGGGTCCCAATCGACCACGGATCAGATATGAAACTGTTGGGTACAGATAATACACGTGGTGGTGGCTTTTTTTTTTTTGTGGGGTGGGATGTGGGGGGGTTCGCAGGTAGTTAAGACTCTCTCTCTCTCTCTCTCTCTCTCTCTCTCTCTCTCTCTCT